TATATATGGGTGTGGTTTTCTATAAGTTTGCAAACTCAAACAAGCCAATTAAGGTGCACCTCCAAATTTTATCATAACATACAATTTTGGTTTAAAAAAATTTTAGGATTATCTCAAAATCTATTTTCATATCTAATTATAAAATTTTAAACTCCAAAAACAGTTAAAATCAAGTAGATCTATAAACATATGAAAAGCTTGGAAATGAACGGCCTAAATAATGTGTTGCAAGATGCACTATTTTTGGGACTTAAAATATCTTCTATTTTTTTCATATTCATACATCTCGATATTGAGATGATCAATTAGAGAGTTTTTCAACTTAAAATAACTTTTTTTGATGGATTTTTAAGGTGCATCTTTATTTCTACATTTTAAGGTTGCAACCTTATATAAACCTTTTTCTATATGTGTGTGTGTGTGTGTCTGTGTGTGTGTGTCTGTGTGTGTGTCTATATATTCATGTCTTAAAATTCATGTGTAGTTCACATATGCATTTACAAGTACAACAATTAATGTCATACAACAATAGTAAAACATCCAAAAGAATAAAAATAACTAAAGTAATAGTCCAAAAAAGGTTATTTTGTGAATCTGAATTTTATTCATTAAAATTTCTTATAGACCAATCCAACATTGCATTGTAACAATATGATAAAAAGCTACAAAGTATTAGCTAATTATTAATTCAAAATGTAGTACCCTTATTGTGCTGCTATTGAAAAGAATTCTAATGCATTCATAAAAAATACATGCTTCCAAAACTAGTAAAAGTCAATTCTTAAGACAAGGCAATGTACAATACAATTCATGTTCTTAATGGTAAAAAAGATAGAATAATAAAGATCTTACATGGTACAAGGCACAACAAGAATGAAAAAGAAAATAGTTGAGGACAAGAGATGAATATCTAGTAGTCCACAACTTGGAGAGGGAGAATTACTGGTGCACAGACTTGGAGAGGGAGAAACCAATAGACCACGGTTTGCAAAGGAAGAAACTAGTTGGGGAGGCAAAAACCCTAGAAAGTATCATAGTAGTTGAAATAAATTGTATTTTTTTTTTAATAACAACAATGGCTTATGAAAATCCTAATTTAACATATAAAAAATTTATGTTTATTCTAAACAACTTATTTTATTCTAACATACTTGTTACTTTTAAAATAAAACACTCTTCAATGAAGGAATGAAGTTTCTAATAGAAAAAATGCCACTTTAAAAAAAAGAAACGTGCCTAAAAAAGAACATGGGACACTTAATAGAGATGTCGTATGTGTGTCTAAGAGTGTCAACATGCTTTTCGGTGTCCACTAAATGTTAACACATGATCCAACCCCATAACACACGTGTCTATGTTTCATAGGTTCTGGTAGGTGATGGTGATTTTAGAAAGGTCATCTCTTGGGCCTCTGGACTATTATAAGCTTTTTATGAAATTTTTTATATTTGCAACCATACTCATGTTTTATAGATGCAGGTTCAAGGCCAACCAAGTGGCCGATGCTCTAGCTAAGGAGGGCGCTTCCCAGGTAACTCTTTAGCACCGTCGTTGTGTCCAATATGGAACTCGGTACGTGGAACTCGGTGTTTTATAATCACAAGCTTGTATAGAATTTTTTTGATATTGCTACTGTATGGGTGGTTTTTGTTTAGAGCTCCCAACTTGTGGGCATCCTATTTTTTGAAACAAGTACTACCCTCAATACAATAACAGTTTAAAAAAAAAAAAAAAAAAATTGATACTTCGTTTTAAGTTTTCCTACTGCAATCTTACAACAAAAAAAATGAATATTACTCGAAATCCTAGCTCTTAACTAAAGTAATGTGGACATGTCATATCTGATAGGTCAATTTTGAGGCTGTTATCTTTTACATGTATTCGTGGCCAATACTAACATATTAAGCCATGTATTTGTAGATTAATTGATAATAAACTAGAAACTATTATGAGGGGAAAAATGCTTAAAAAGGAAAATATGGAAAAAAACTCACATCTTTCAATATTTAAAACACATTTTTTATTTTATGTTCAAGTCCCATTTTTTTTGTATTTTTCTTCTATTTCCATATTACCTCCACTTCTTAGATTCAACATCCAAACCTAAATCTTTCTTTCTTTCTTTTTTGAGTTAGAGACTAGTTAGACATTAGATATTTAACTGATGATTTTTGTTATTGGGCCGGTCTAGACATCCAACGTACATAATTAACACTTTCTAAACAAAATAAAACAGGATGGATCAATGTCTAATATATTTAGGAAACAATAAGAATAATGCGCTCCTTGGAAGTATATTGTGTACTTAGCCTAAATAGGTCTTTTATTCAGGGCAGGTAGTGCATAATATTCCTCCCTCCCATGGGAGCAAACTATAATTGCTCTTTTATAGAAAGGATGGGTCAGGTGCCAATTGTTTAGAAAAAGGAATTATAATGTGCTCTCAGCTAGGAGCACATTGTTTAGAAGAACCAAATTTAAAATGTGCTCCACTATACTTGTTTTCTGAAAATCTGAGCTTGCATCCGTCCCCTAAACACCGATTCCTCAACCTCATTGCGAGAAAAGCTGTATCCCGATTTGTGAGGAAAAGGTTTCAAATCCCATATATACAGCACAATAACACAATACATGCATATCCTTTTCAATATATCACAACAAAGCGAGGAATAAAATGTCCATCAAAATATATGCAAATATCTTCTTGGGTACTGTTAGCATAAGGCCTAGGCTTTATGTCAAACAGTAAAGCCGCACCTCCAAATCCATCAGACAATGCAAGTTTTGGCAGCAGAAATCTCTATGATGACCTAAAATCTACTTGAACTTTTGATTATGAAATTTGATTTTATACCCCAAATATGTTGTAGATCTAACAAATTTGTAAAAATTCAAAAATAGGTAGCTAGAATAATGTGTTACAATATATATTATTTTACCACTTAAAAGCCTGTTTTTTTAGATCCATAATTATCGAGGTCCCAATAATCCAGCACCAGAACTACATTTTTCCTTCAAGGTTTTAAGGTGCAGCTGTGCTAGGCTTTAGATAAAGTTTTTCCATTTTTTTCTAATCAATGAATACCTGCTTACTCGATAGTCAACACCCAACTTCACCTCCCAGTTTGCTACCATCTCTTTTGGACTCGCTCGAAGAGGTACTGATCTCTAACCTTAAAAACTGTTAATTATGTATAAACAAAAATGGTCATCCATACCCCAGTTGACAGAAGGCCAGCCATGAACCCTGAGAAGACATACTGCAGCCTATGGAGTACAGTATCATGCAACATGATTTGCCAAATCCACAATTCATTCCCCATTTCCCTCTAATGGACAACTGGAGATTAACCGTACCAAGTTGAATATGTCTGTGAACACCACCACAGTGAATCATCAACCATCTATCAGCAAGAATAGACGGTTGATGCAGCCTTCGAGTACGATATATATTGGCCCATTGGACAAGGGAATACCTTCTCACGTGATGATAAACAGTCTGATTTACACCTTGGTGATGACAAAAGCCACTAAACTTGAATTTAGCCAACCGAATGAGGAATTTTAGCATTCAAGCTTTTTCAACATATACCTTTTATTCCCAACAATAAATTATAAGAAATCACCCAAACACTATCCTCTTGATACAGCAAAAAAAAGGAAGCATATTTAATACCAAAAAAAAAGAGAGGAAGAAGCAACAAACTTAGCTTCACAAAATAAATAAACAAGAAGAGACCAATAACTATGATTTAGTTTCAATTTAATCATTTTGCTACTATGTGAACACCACGCTGCAGATTTAACATTACAAAATTGAAAAAGTTGTATCAAACTACAAACAGAAGTTATTTCTTTACATGCTCGAAGGTTTCAGACAAGTTCCTTTGTAAATCTCCAAATGGGAATGAAGAATAAATTAATTTGTCTGGGGCGTTTACCATAGAAACCTCTGGGTCCCTTGTTCATGTTCCCAATGGAATGGCCGAAACAAAAACATCATGATTGTAAATATGTTTACAATAACAAACTGGATTCCCATAATAAACCATTTCCAGCTGTCATCAATAGGAGAATGGAGAACCAAAAAAAAGAATGGAATATTATAGTATCTAAACTCGATTAGTGGGGCAGGGACAAGAACCGCTGCGCAAGAAAAGAAATACAAAAGAACCCATATTGTCTTCCGAGATTTTCCTGCAAAAGGGGCCAACAAACAAACAAACAAGAAATTCAAAATAATTACGTAACTAACAATAGTACATGAAATTAGCAAAACATGAACAAGTAGCGATGGGAGGAGGATTTATTGATAACTAGAAGCAAGCATCAATTCCGACCTAAAATATTGAAGATGGAGAACCAAGAGTACACATATAGTGGGACCAAAAGGTATTTCATCAACCAATGTGCATGAATAACCTTCCTCCAGATATAGAATGTATAATGCCTGTTATCCGCCAGAAGATAGGGATGGGCAATGCTGCAATGACAAATTTAGACCATTTAATGAAAACAACAATAAAGATAGCAAAGAAACTATCACGCAACAGCCTATGGAAACGACAGTTCATTGAAATTGAATTATGAGACCATCTACCATGCTCCCGCAAGAATATATTGTATACTTACTCCCTCAGGCAGAAGACTTACATGTGAAAGTTTTTTTGATCCAAAACTTTTGAGGACCACCCAAAAATCACTCGATGATTATGTTCAAAAGAAAAAAGTTGAATTTTGAGGTTTTCTAACACTTTGATCTCACCCTTCAAAAAATTGGACGGTTTCTATTCAATATTGAGGTATTGTTTTTTTCAAGCCCATAGAAAATCAACTCAGAAATTTTCTTAATTGAGTTTAGCATGTGGGTTGAGGAGGTCACATCCCAAAAATTGGTGGTCCTGAAATACTCGATTGGGTTTTAACTGAGGGAGTAAATGGACAGTATGCTCCCTTGGGAGCACGAAATCTTTTGGCTTGATTGTAAACTGTGATAGAGAGCTAGTAAAACCCCAGAATAAAACATGATAAAACCCAATGATGACCTGCTCTAATCACCGTCCGTATCAATAGATGGTGATGACACATTGGACTAAGGTTTTCCCATAGTTCGTTGGATTATAGTATACCATAGAGAGAACCATGTGTATACCATAGAGAGAACCATGTCATAGAGATTTGCATGTTTCTATGTGCCCTGGAAAAAAACAAAAGCATGGAAAGCTCAAATATGCAGGGTGCTAAGCAGCAAACTTCGAAGCCATATGGCATCCGAGAATACTCTAAATCATTCATCGGGAACTGATAAAAACTTTACCTTGAATAATCAAAAAACACATAAGAGTATTGGCTACTTGATTGAATTATAAGATAGGAACTTTTCCTTGGGCCAAATACTAGGAAAAATGCATAACTATGACCTAATTTGTCAGAAACTTTTTAAGCTTTAGAACAATAAACACCTACAACTGGGCGTTCTTGTTCTCTCCCCATCCCAGTTCAATGGATGAAATATAAACCTCTTATCATTACAAGATTTTAAACATCAACAAATGAAGATTTCAAATATCTGTTAGACCATGGAATGCTCTCAAGGCCAATAGGCCTGAATATCCTAAATGCTAACATGCACATAACGCTGGATAAACCACATCGAAACCACAAAGCATATAAAGGAAGTATCATTGTGGCAAGGATATTAAGTATACAAAAGTGTCAAATATTTCCTGGGAAATATCAACTTTACCAACAAGACGGAGGTAGGAGATAATTCTGCAATTTACAATTAGAAATCAGAGAATGTTTCACCATAAGAACTACTAGCCACATATCCAGGTATCTTTCTCAAAGCAAATAACCTTAGATACATGCCATAAGAAGCTCCCATTGGCAAAGACGTTTCTGAAAATCTGTAAACAGTATGTACACTTTTATATTTTGCAAAATGCTTCAAAAATCTATAGGTTATCATAAAATATCTCACCTGAAGAAGTGAACAGAGAGAAATCCAGCTGCAAGCGCCAAAGAACCCAAAACAAGATAATAAAATTTATCTTTCTGGAATGCCCGATAAAGAATTACAGCTTGACCTAAATTAAAATGTACTGGAGCCATGGCTGCAGCCGAAACAAGACCAAAATACGGCAGCTGAACTAAATGAAATGAAGCTGTGTGTGCCTCTTTTGCACCTGCAAGACCAATTCCACAAGATATTGTACATGAGAAAACCTCCAGAAATAGAAGAAGTATCGGAAACATTCATGTGGTGATCATATAATACAAAATCATCGTTAACAATCAAGAAAAATCGATGTGTATATGTGTAGCCGTGTATATACAAATGTATGTAGATACTAAATACATACATAAATTTAAAGTATATGGATATAAAAGTCGCTATAAGATTATCATAAAACATGCATGTGCTCAGCATGCAGATAAATAGATACATGGACACGTTCATACATACAGTCATGCATACATGCAGACATGCATGTGTGTGTACATCTATGCCCTTATATATGTATGGGCATTACAAAGAAAACCACACACTGCAAGGGTGGGAGATGATTACCAACCACTAAGCTTCCATTCCATACCACAAAAGTACCAAATGCTGCAAAAAGCACTAAAAAGGGAGCATAGGCAACCAAGACTTCCCACTTAAAACTCCAGAGTTTCATAGATATGCCCCAGAACTCACATAGCAAACCTGCCACACAAGAATTGTACACAGTTAAAGATCTTGAATTTCATTGAAGTTGCCCATTAAAAATTTACATGATTTTTTTAATTTAAATGATTTGGTAAAATATAAGCACTAAGAGTAAATATTGTCATAGGCATATTTCTAGCAAAAGTTATTTGTCAGTTATTCATTTTCCTTGACTGAGGATGGCTAAACATTTGTCTCATGATTAATATTACTTAAGTGAAGGATTTATCCTGCATTTATTTATTAGCATCCTCTTAGAAGACATCACAAACAATGGATGGGGAAATTACTTAGATGAAGTGCATATTTTGCTCTCTTCTCTTTTCTTGTTTCCTAATACAATCAAAATTTCATAGATGCCATGCATCTCACTGGGAGAACCTTTTAGGAAAAGAAATCAGCAGATACTTTTAAGTATTTTTAAAGATACTTCCAGTGTTTCAAAAAGCGCTAGGCGGCACCTAGACGGTTGGGGGGGTCCAGGCCGCCCTGGCGGACACCCAGAACCTGGGCGTTCCAATAAAAAAAAAAAAAATTGGGTTTTTCTCTCTCAAAAATAGCCTCTAATGGGTTTTAGGTCCATTTGAAACCTAAAACCCAAAATTTTGCACCTTTAGTATTAAAAAAAATGACCCAAAATGACCCAAAAATGGCCTCAACGAGCGGCATTTCCGCCCTTGGGCAGGGCGCAGGCCCTGGGCGGCCGCCTAGGCGGGTTCCCTGGCGCCTGAGGATTCCCGCCTAATTTGGCCGCCTAGGCCTAAGCGATGCGCCCAAGCCTTCTAGACCACCTGGCGGCTGCCCAAGCGCTGGGCAGTTCGCTTTTTGAAACACTGGATACTTCACATGCTACTGATTGTATTTTAAACAAACAAAACAAAGTGACATCTTGTATAGTGACCACAATATATGGCATGATTTCCATTGGAAACCATACTTGCTTCCAGTATTGTCAACAGGAGGCCTTTCCTCATCAAAATATTTGGAAATAAGAATATGATGTATTTTAAACGAAAGAAACCAAGGGAAGTCCTATATTGTGATCACAATATATGGCATGATTTCAATTGGAACCATACTTGCTTCTAGCATTGTTGACAAAAGCCCTTTTCTCATCTAATACTTGGAAAGAAGAATGAAATTTATAATTTAATACTTATTCATGGAATGCTAGAATTCCTCCTAAAAGTTGGGTCTTATCCATGACTTTTCCCAAGAAGAAAATGAGACTCTCTCAAACAATCTGCTTAAAATATGATCACGAAATAAAATATAAAATAAAAACTACTAAAATTAGAGGGTTCCTTTAAAGAATCTGTTTCCATCTATTATAATTGGCATATCCAGAAATCCTGGTGCAGGGTTAATCCCATAGCCATTTAACCGAATTACTTAATTATTAGAGAAACTGCTAAGTAAATATAGTTCCTAAATTTAAGTAAACCACTTTAAGATGCACTCAAATTGAGATTAATTTATCTTTCATTTATTAGTTGATACTAGAATTGCATTCCAGTAATGGTAAATTACTCCCTCGTGCCACATCAACGTCACTTGAATGCTTCCACCTCGTATACCTCTTTTCGTATTTTTAACCATTCAAATTTAGCCAAGAACAACCCACTTATGAAAAAAGGTTCCAAGTACTCAAACTTCAAAGCAATGGCAAAAATAATAGAAAATTATACAGTAAAAGCATTGTGGCTCCTAAACATAGTAAGTTATAAAGATTTCAATTTAAAATAAAATAAAAAAAACCATCAATCCTTTCAGATTGATAGATAAGTGCACAATTCAATATGCTATTTTGTATCTTTCCTCCACATTTTTATTTTTGAATGTTGTTTCTCTCATATAATGTAGTAACCAAATATCGTTTTTCCAAATTTTGAAAACCTGATTGTGCTTCCATGTAACATGAGCATCGGTGATTAGTACTGTCAATACATAAAAAAAGTTCAACTAACCTTCTTCATGCTCAAAAATCAAATATTTCAAGTTCTCTGCCAGCCTTGAATGTAGGACTAACCTATTTGGATTAATTTTACAACTAGAGTCCAGAAACCTAATGAATATATTTTTTTTATTAAAAAAAAGCGAGGGTAAAGATTAAAATATTGGGAAGGGCACAAACCATAGCATGAACTACTACTTGTGGAAGAAGGGGTATAAGTTCCTGTGGGAGAGATAGTTGTGGTGTTCATGGAGCCACCAACCTTCCGCTTTCTCAATTTCAAACCAGTGCTCTTACCCCTGACAATGAATTTTGTGTACCTTTCAATGGATAAAGTACAATCGCCATACTGTATGTTATCCTTTTCATAGAGGCTTTCAGCATAACTAATAGCCCCAGTGCTTGCAACAAAGAATAACCATACAACGTTTGTTTGCCGAACCAATATGGCCAATGCTCCAAACTGTAGAAGGAGGAACGTTGAAATGAGAGAAACTGCATAAGGTAATATTTAGAAATAAGTGAAAATATCAAAAACCCAGCACAAAAATTAAATGGATAGTTGAAGAAAAATGAAGATAGCAAAAGGCAAAAGAAGTCTGATTCTTTCAGGGATGCGTCCATGATCACATTAATTTGAAACAAGCTAAATGAATCATGTGTCAATATAATTCTGAATAAAAACTGTAACCATATCATAAATATTCAGTCAATCCTCAGTTGCTCCTCTTACCACTGCACTGAACCAATATGAGCCTTTCAGAGAAGCTAGATACATGGCTAGCACAGCAGCAGTAGATGCCACATCCGTGTAGTATAGAAATGTGAAGAACCAATGGATGGGGTACAATGTCACAACCAGTGTGCATAATGTGGCTCTTCTTTCATCAACGCCTGGCCTCATGTGCCTAAGTATGCAATAGAAAAGGAGACTGCAAATTACTGCTAAAGCACAGTTCATGGACCGAAGAATCAAAGTGGTGCAGAGCTCTCCATATGATGAGGCTATCCCAGCAAACCACATGACCGGATAAATAAAACCCACATATGCAAGTGAAAGATAGTACCTGCAACAGTTTTTAAAATATGTTAAATCAATGTCTAGTTTCTAGGTTACCCAAAAAGTATAATTCAAGAGAGCCAAGAGCAACGTAATGAGCATAAACAAGTTAAGTCTATAATATTTACTAATGTTACAAGAACAATACTAATGTCAGTCGGACTACATTATCCCACTCCTTGACAAAAGTTATCACTTACATTACAAAGATGATACCGTGTCAATTCCAACCCCCAGATATGCAAATAAGAAATGCGACACTCAAATTTCATATTTCAGATGGTGGGAAGGTGGGCTTTTAAACAAAAATAAATACTTTCCTTATGATAATTCCACAAAAGTTAGGTCAGAAGCATCTGCGTTTCTAAAGTACGAAAAAAATGTGTCATGTCCTTAACATGTCAAGAACCACAAACAAATCTGTCCAATTAAAATAGGTTATTATGGGGTTATGCTGTCATTTCTTTAATTTAATTCTTTTATTAATGGAAACTGCACATTAAGGAAGAAGTTTGCTGGAAGAGAGGAATATACTGCAATTTATCATCATCATGATTAGAGCCTTTTCTCAACTATTTGGGTTCGGCTATACAAATCCAGGTCCGCCATTATGCTGTATCAAGGGTCGTACCCTCAGTGAGACCATAAGTCCTAATTTAATCTACAAGCAATTTAATGTTATAAAGAAATCATTTAATTTTTGAGATAGAAGGTATGATGACAAAACATTCTGCCAGCAGCTAGACAAGAATTCCACCTAAAATATTTTGTAGGATTATAGGTTGTCTGTCTACCACGAAGTAGTTTATAGGGGTTGTTGCTCCCTTTGACGCCAACGTCACTTATCTGGATAGTTTTCAATCAATTGTATTTCAAAAACCATATCTGATTTTTTTGTCTGGGAAATGGTTTGTTTTCTTTTTTCTAGAATTTTCAAACATGTTTTCCCTTTTGGGATGCGGTTTGACATTAGCATGTGATTCTTGATTAGTTCATATACTTGTTTGTTCATTTTAGACATTCCTAATATCGCATTTTCCATAAGGCATTTATGTTCCTAGTATTCTCTAACTATTAGTTATGTTTTTTTAAGCACTACGGCCCATATGAGACACTGGATTGCACAGGTTCAATGATTTGCTATGAGTAAAACTCTCTTCCTTATCCAAACTTTATCTTCGTAAGATATGTTATAAAGATTATTCAAGGCATTCAGCATGGTCCTAATAGGGATAAACTTGGTCTTTGGGAGTTACAAAATTGTCAAAAATTATGGAACACTAATAACCAACGTAGCCAAGTGCGGACCTCTGCCAACAAGTTAGGAACCAAGCAGAATATACTCGACTAATCCCAGGCCCTTGCCTAAAGATCATAAACATTGTATTCAACACATGATCATAAACATTGTATTCATATGACTTGGTTGGGGAAAGCCTTGGTACAAAGAGTACACACTTCAAAGTCAAACAAAATCACTAATAAACACTGATCTGGCAGCTTGGATGGTTGAATGTTGGAATTTTTATGGTTTCCTTATTGGTCAAAGAATCAAGGTCAAAATTCAGAATATATAACTTATTTCGAAAACTAATGAGATAAAAATATGTTTATCACAAATAGAAAGTTTCACACTAATCAAGAAAATGAAAGAAAACGATTGAATGGAGAAATATTAATCCTTTCTTTCACTTTAGAATGTATATCAATATGGGCTTCCGGTGCCTTAATCCCTAGGTTGACTTTGAAACCCACATTTTCCAACTAAAAGAGAAACTGCGCATACATGATGAATGTATATGTGCTGTGTTACAAAGACACTGACATGAGAATCCATGTCTGACACAAATTTGAAGATTCCAACTCATCTACCTATATCTTGCCATGTCTAGTACGACTCGTTTGTACAAGTCCATATTGTGCATGTTTATATATTTATATACAAAAGTAACTTCTTCGCAATAACTTTTAAAATTTAAGCATTTGCATAACTTGCATGCGACACACGTGTCTAGTGCGTCGATGTGTCAGATTCCCTTAAACATACAATGCACATGTGGGTGCTATATAGCATATGCATGAGTTTGTCTACATATACACATATAATACGGATGTTACATAGAGTCTCAAAAGTCAAAAAAAAAAATGCATTTATGAATATTTCCATAAGGGTTTTGACATCCAAGCATCGGATAGTCAAACAATGCCCCATGAAAGTGTACAATTAGGAAAGAAGAATCTCTCACAAGTTTGGTTTTGAAGTGGCAAAATACTCTTGCACCAAAGAAACAATCACGTGTATCATACTAGTTTTGAAGTGGGAAAATACTCTTGCATCAAAGAAACAATCACATGTATCATACTCTTACATAATAGAACATCCAAACATATTGCTTATAATGAAACCAGTGTTTCAAAAAGCGCTAGGCGGCACCTAGTGGCCATGGGGATCCAGGCCGCCCAGCGCCTAGGCAGCCGCCCAGAACCTAGGGGGCCTCGGTTCTAGCCCTTGATAGAGGGACTCATGGTGTGACTAAGGGTATGGCCATAATCCCAATTAAAAAAAAAAAAAAAAAGAATAGAAGTCGAGAAGAGAATTTTGATAATCCATAAGACCATAATCCATACTTTCATACAATGCTAAAACAGTAAAACCATACAAGCATACACTTATAATCTGATACACTGTAGACTATACACACAAAAGTAAGAAAGTAGAACTAGAAACTAAAAATAAGAAGAAAAAAATATACAAAAATTCAGAAAATATACAGTCTAGGACACAATAGTTAACACTCAACACTCGACACTCAACACCAAGAGTCTTCACTCTTCAATCATCATCATCATCATCAGAAGCAACAGGGTAAGCTTCATTATATGCATCAGAATCGAGGCCACCATCATCAGAGTCATCTCCCTCTTCAATATAATGCTCGTCGTCCTCTATTTCTTCTGAATCTGCCTCTTCCTCCTCTTCTTTTACCTCCCTCTTACTAGTACGTGCAGATGAGGCCCTCGGAGTCTTGGCTGCTCTATACTTTTCTATCTTTTTGTGCTTCCCTGAACTCAAATATTGTATAATTTCCACCATGGTAGTCTTAGGAACATTTTTACACAGGGCAACATCCCCCTTAATACCGGCAAGGTGGTTTTTAAACCGGTAAATGCCCCCATTAGTATCCTTTCCACAATAATTACATTTAATACGATTTTTGTCATTTGGATTCGAGTTATAACCATACTTCCAACCTGGATCACCACTTCTAGAAGAACCTAGAGAAGGCATTTCCACAGAACAAGGCTCATTTTCATCATTTTCTGGTTCTTTTAAATTCAGAAGTGTCTAATCTTATCCCGAATAGCTTTAGGAACCTTTGTATGAGAAACAACATTCCCTTTAATACCGGCAAGATGTTTCTTGAATCGGTTCATACCCCCATTGGTATCTTTTTCACAAATTATACAATTTTTATCGTTTGGTTTGGGGTTATAATCATACTTCCAACCCGGATCACTTCTTCTAGAAGTAACAGAAATGTACCTATTCAAATGACAAGGATTTCGTTCCTGTTTTTGTTTTACATAACTCATATATTGCTTAATGTCTTCTCTAATAGCTTCAGAAACATTTTTACAAGAGGGCAGCATCCCCCTTAATCCCGCCAAGATGTTTCTTAAACCGGTTTATGCCCCCTTTCATATCTGTTTCACAAAAATTGTATTGGATTCAGGTTATATCCATATTTCCAACCCGAATCTCCACTTCGACTAGATCTTAAAAAAGACATCTCAAAATAAAACAAGCAATCTAAAAAATAAATTTTTGCACTTATTTTGATTGCTCGAGCTCCAAAATCCTACCTTTGAGATGTTTTCTAGTGCTAAAATAATAAAAAACACCCTCTAATAAGTTTATAAAACTCCAAAACTAAATCAAATCTACCTGGGTGATGTTTGGATCCATTTTTCATAACTTTGAGAAACACTTCGATACAATGAAAGTCACAAAAATTAGTTTTCTTGAGGTTTCTTTATCTCTAAAATAGGTTCTTGTGGGTTTAGGTTTGAAATAAATCTAAAACGCATCCTTCAAACCCTTTATATTTCAAAAAAAATCAATACAACAATAAATAAATAAAAAATTCTGCCCCTAGGCGGGGCGCAAGCCCTAGGCGGCCGCCCAGGGCTGGGCGCCTGCCTAGGCGGGTTCCATACTGCCCCGGCGGCCGCCCAGTTTGGCCGCCTAGGCCTAGACGATGCGCCCAAGCCTTCTGGATCGCCTAGGTGGCCACCCAGTTTGACTTTTTAGGCCTAAGCGCCGAGCGGTCCGCTTTTTTTAACATTGAATGAAACTCAGGTCATGGGTTGTGCAGATGCCTTCATTTTTTCATTTTTTAAATACCATTTATGCTACATGACACCTTGTTTTCCTTTTTCCTTTTTCCTTTTTTGGTGCCTCGCTTCCTCCCCACCCCCCACCCCACCCATATGCTTAAGCTCAAGTGTAGGCCTTGATAATATGGCTTAAACCCTAACTTTTTAATGGCAGCCTTGATAAACCACCTTTAAGTGGCATCATATCATTGGTCGAGTCCATGTGATTCTTATACGATGGCACAATTTGATTGGATGAGCCATGTGGATTTTATTTTTATTTTTGGATAATTAAACAAAATGAGAATTTAAAAGACCATGAGGGGCATGTCCCTCGCACTTGATTCGTCTTGATTTTCCAAAGTATAAGATGGACAATTTTGGCATGATTAAAATGGCTCATGAGAGATTTATTTGACTTATGGACAATGAGGTAAATTGGCAAAATCTAGGGTTTAATGGGGAGACAATGGTGTGAAATCACATCCCTACATCTTGGTGACTAGATGGGGATGTGTGGCTAGGATCATGGGCCTCTTATGTGCAATGAATGATGAGCATCAATGGCTAAGATCAAACCATTTATGAAGTCACACAACTATTTGCCTATAAATAATATCACTTGGCTTC